GGTATCTTGGGGAATGAGGCAGCAGATGACCTTGCCAAGACTGGCTGCAACAAGGCCACACCTGACTACGTTGTTCCTCGAACACTCTTACAGATTAGGACCCAAATCCGCCGCAAACAGAGAGAAGCTCGGGAAGCAGCCATCCCCCTGGACTCCCCGCCCACATGGTACGATGTCCTCCGTAAACTTCCTGACTTCTCGTACGTCTACGGGAAAGGGTCGCGGAAGGGGGACGTGATTGCTGCCCGTATCATCATTGGGTATGACTTTGCTTGGGAGATTGGTATCCCCACATCCCCTGAGCAACGCTCTTGTGCGTTATGCAGAAGACCCGACAGCCGCACCCTTATTCACTACCTCCTAAGATGTCCCCACACACAACGCTTCCGTGATGCCTGCTGGACCACCACTCCACGACCCCCTGACGGAGACACGATGATCCTCCCAATACTGGCCAGATATTTTGTAAATAATATTAATTATGTGTTAAAGGAACATCCTTCCTTCCTTAGGCTTTAGTAAGCCCCTTTATAATATTTATACTGTATATACTTTTCACACTTGCCAGATGATTCTGGTGTCATTGTACAGGGGTACCTAGTGACAGCACTAGGATCCCGCTTCCTCTATCAAGGAATAAACAATTGAAATTGAAATTGAATTGAAACACAGACTAGCAAATTTCTTACTCAGATACAGAACCACGCCACATAGTGTGACAGGATGTACTCCTGCAGAGTTAATGGTGAAGAGACAGTTGAGAACAAGATTAAGTTTAGTTAAGCCAAGTCTGTTTGAAGTTGTAGAGAGAAAACAAGCTCAACAAAAGATGTATCATGATAAGAGTTCCAGTGAAAGAGTGTTCAAGGTAAATGATAGGGTGAGAGTTAGGAATATGGCTAAAGGTTATGGTACTGTACATGCAAAGTGGATAACTGGTGTCATTGACAAGGTATGTGGATCTAGGACATATTTAGTGAAATGTGGTAACTCTTTGAGATATGTTCATGTGGATCACATCATTCAGGCACATGACGAGATGAATGTAGCACCAGGACATGATGATAAACTTGACACAGTTTCAGATGATCATCATCATGATGATGTCAAAGATGATGTTTCCCAGCATCCACTCACTGTGTCAACTGATTGTAGTGATGATATGTCTGTCACTGATAATGCACAGAGTGCAAGTGAAACCCCTGTAAAACTTGATGGAGGGAATAGTCCTAGAAGATCAGAGTTAGGAGACCTGTAATTAAATTAGACCTCTAATTATCTGAATTGTGAACAGGACTTTCAAAACTGTTTAGTTAGGAAGTTATATTTGTTGTGTTCTATTCTCCTCTTCCCTGCCATATGTAATTGTAAGTTTTGTTTATTTAGGATTTGTAGCAGCCATGCTCTCTTTTGAAAGGGAGAAATAGTGTAATATATATGTATGTTTATATGCTGCCTTTATTGAACATATATATATTATATATTATGTTATTTCTTACCAAAGTCAGAAAGTGTTTAGGCTTGTGCAAACACGAAATGTGTTAGGCACGTTGTAACCAAGAACAGAGAATAAACGCCCAGCCAGACAGACCATGTGACTTGTCTTTCCCCCATTAAATAACGCAAGATACTACAAAATACACACGCTGTTAACGTCATCCTCCCAACATAAGGGGGATTTCTAGACAAGAACCCTCTATGGGTATACGTTGGGATCTTGGAGATAAGAGTGTTACATAATCTTTTCAGGAGATTGTAGTGGATTTCTCCCCTACAAACACTGTTTGTCGCTGCATAGCCGACCTCACGAATTCCCCTGTGTATGCCTCGTGGTCTAGGTCAACCAGCGCCGCCATACATCACGGAGCTGGGGTCAACTACTAAGTCACGCCTACCCCCCGCTATTTAAGACCTGACCTAGTGGTGACCTGTCTCTTTCTACCTACACCAACCAGCCAGCAACACACCTCCTCCTCCACCGCTGCCTGGCGGCCCTCGCTCCTCCTCCGCCTGCCTGGCGGTCCTCGCTCCTCCGCCTGCCTGGCGGTCCTCTCTCCCGCCGGCGAGCAAGGCGACCCACAAGCTGTCCTTCTCTGAGCGTCCTCACCAACCAGCTCTCTCTACATCACGCTTGTAACCTTGCTGCCTTCCCAGCACCAAGCTGCATTGTACATCCAATACAACATGTACATAGAGAGCACATTGTGAGTTTCCTTTCTCCATTCCATCCTGAGTGTGAACCAAACATCTTGAACCCCACCAATGGTGACTCCCGGAGATTCGCACTCACACAGGATGGTGGAGAAACTGATCACGCTCCCAGTCTTCAAGCAACATGGAAGACTGGCTTATCCACACTGAGGCAGCTCTCATCGGCTCCACAACTACTGTCTCTACACCGCAGGTTAGACACCCTAGAGCAGCACTGCTTCTCTAAGCAGACACCAGCTCCTCTTCCTGCTCCAAGCACCACGTCCTACCGACCCCAGCACACCCGTCCTGCCTCAGACGCCGCCCCCGGCCCAGAAGTAACCCCTGCCGCCCCTGATGCGGCCTCTGTTCCTGAGTGCGGACCCACACACACCCTCTTTTCTCCCTCAGGTAATCCTTGCCAGTGTCCTGCACCCTGCTGCTGTCGTGGACCCAGTTGCTGTCACGAGCCCTCATCCGCTTCTGCTGACGCAGCCCCTGCTCCTGACCCAGACCCACACACCCCAGCAGGCGCATTTGACGACTCTGTACCTGCCGTGAGGGAAGTAAAACATTCATCACTTCCACACACCCTTTTTCTCTCTCTCTACTCCCACAGACAATGTGTATGTAGACAGTTGTATCCAGCGACCGGCTCATCCACGCCATCGCCGTTGTCTCACATGAGGCATGCACCGCCCGTTCTGCCTCACATGTGCTATGCAACCCTGCAGACAACAAGTCTCCTACACCGCCTGGAGGGAAGGGGGAGTATTGTAGTGGATTTCTCCCCTACAAACGCTGTTTGTCGCTGCATAGCCGACCTCACGAATTCCCCTGTGTATGCCTCGTGGTCTAGGTCAACCAGCGCCGCCATACATCACGGAGCGGGGGTCAACTACTAAGCCACGCCTACCCCCCGCTATTTAAGACCTGACCTCGTGGTGACCTGTCCTCTTTCTACCTACAGCCGCAGCCAGCAACACCTCCTCCTCTGCCGCTGCCTGGCGGCCCTCGCTCCTCCGCCTGCCTGGCGATCCTCTCTCCCGCCGGCGAGCAAGGCGACCCACAAGCTGTCCTTCTCTGAGCGTCCTCACCAACCAGCTCTCTCTACATCACGCTTGTAACCATGCTGCCTTCCCAGCACCAAGCTGCATTGTACATCCAATACAACATGTATATAGAGAGCACATTGTGAGTTTCCTTTCTCCATTCCATCCTGAGTGTGAACCAAACATCTTGAACCCCACAAGATTAATTACTTTCTTAAGTAGACAACTGACAATAATCAAACTACAAATATCAGATTCTCTGAGGTTTGGGCATCAAAATAATCTAACTTCAGAAGCAATTGGAAACTCATGGCTATCCCCAAGGACGATATCACAGGATGCCATTCGTACTGGCAGACTCGACACCCACTTACTTGACAAGTGTTACTAACAATAAAGACAGTTGAAGCTTTCAACATCATTCTCAAAGGATCTTGAATGCTTTAACTGCAATCAAACAGTTCAGGAAGTCAGAGAAAATGGACGGCAGCTAAGCTAGAGAAAACGAGTTTCTTCCTAGGGACAACTCACCAGATATCCACCTGTTTTGTGGGCGTGGAGCATAATATGAATCATCAGGTTTCAAACAAACCAGCCATACCAGTGTGACCATGACACTGAGACCCCTTGTGAGGTGGGCGTTCTATTCTGCATAATATTTGTAAACTCGTAAATAATTATGGCACACTGCTTTGTGCATAAATATATGCTGTATGTAATTGGCATGGTGTCGTGGTGACAGAATTAAAGGACTATCTTCAAATTATAAATGTCATCTGAAAATATACATTATGTACAGATTTATCATAGTAGTATTTTTCACCCATCAAAACATAACCTGGCCACTAAAATGGACTTACTACACGTTTCGCATGCAACCATAGAGAAAATATGTACTGTAATGTAATAAAGACAGCTGTGAGAAGGGTGTTATCTAGAGTGACCAAACCACTCATGGCAAGTTTTCTTCTGTCTGTATTAACACTTGACAACGAATTTTGATCGCATATCTCGGGTCACCCCATCTGGTCCCCGAGATATGCTAGGGACTGTCAGTTGGTTGAAAATGTTCAAAGGAGGGCCACCAGACTGGTGCCTGCACTTCGGCACCTCAGCTACCCTGAGTGATTGGAGAGCCTGAACTTGCCTAGGTTATGCTACAGACGGGCAAGGGGGGGACCTAGTTGAGGTGTATAAGCATCTCAGGGGGCACTACTCAGTTGAGTGTCCTTACTTGGAGCTGGCGGACGCTCGCCCCACAAGGGGTCACAGCTCAAGATTGAAGAAGCCGCAAGTTCAGAAAACCGTGAGGGCAAACTTTTTCGGAGTGAGGGTTGTAAACTCTTGGAACAATCTACCAGAGAGTGTTGTGACGGCACCGAGTGTGAGCTCTTTCAAGACAAGACTTGACCAACACTGGAGCGGGTTCAGGTACATTCAGGAGCCGGTGCATGCCCAGTATTTGCCAACAGTGCGTGACAGAGACGTGACCGATCGCCCGGGCGGCTAGCGAGCCGATCAGTGGCGAAAGGCTAAAAGCAAAAAAAAAGTAAAAAGAGAATAATAGGTGTGTTACAGAGAACTATTGAAAATAAGTAATCATATAAAAATAAAAGTATATCATTTGAACTTCTAGGCTCATTCAGATTATATATTCCTTTTTTAATTGGTATACTCTTTATAATAACGTAAATAGAAAGGAAAGTATAAATAGTTTAGCTGGATGGCCTCCATGCTGTTCGTGGTTTATTTTCTACATTGAACAAGTTGCTCCCAGTGACAACAACAGTGACTCTTCATCTGGCGGTGGAGTCACAGTAACACATGATTTAGCAGCTGACGTTAATTAAATCTGGGTAATAATGGCCACAGCTCTAGCAAGACCAATCTCATTTCCTGATATTGGTTTGAGTGAACAAGACCAAGATGGTAACTCAGCTCTACTAGAACTGGACAGAGGTAAAGATTACTGGTACTGACACTGCCACTAGTTTCACAATGAAAAATAAAGCTAATTGTTACTTCACGAGTCTCTGGTAACACATCAGTGACATTGTGCACTAAAATAATATGTATTGGTAAATTTGCATTTTCTACCCATATGGCCCTTGAGTTGAGTAATGTGCTTTTCCGGTGATATTTTTGTCGGAAATCACTCGTTTTTTGAGATATCCCCCACTACTAAGAACTGATTTCCAACAAAAATCAACTTCAAAATCGAATAAAACATCGGAAATACACATGGGTAAACTCAAAAGCCAAACTAATTTAACCTAACCAAACCGGTAATTGTGCAGATTACAGTGACCAAAGAATTCCGGAAATTCTCATCACTCAATCGATAGAACTAATTTTTATAGTTTCAATTACTTATATACACTTCCATCGCAAATTTATAATGAAGTTATTGAATTTTAAAAAGAATGAAATCAGAGCACCTGTCCCTAGACTCTGTCCCTGACTCAGACACTGACCCTGACTCAGACACTGACCCTGACTCAGACACTGACCCTGACTCAGACACTGACCCTGACTCAGACTCTGTCCCTGACTCAGACTCTGTCCCTGACTCAGACACTGACCCTGACTCAGACGCTGTCCCTGACTCAGACGCTGTCCCTGACTCAGACTCTGTCCCTGACTCAGACTCTGTCCCTGACTCAGACACTGACCCTGACTCAGACTCTGTCCCTGACTCAGACACTGACCCTGACTCAGACGCTGACCCTGACTCCAGAGTAAAGTAAGAATTACTGTAATGGCTGTTGATATTATTGTGGAGGCTGACCACGAGACTCTGGGTTGTTACCTTGCCCCGGTAGGGCCACCAGGGTCAGCCCCCGGTTAGGTAATGTTTAGTTTGGTTGTATTGTATAATTTACAAATCACTCGTTTTTTTGCCCCAAGCTGATATTCCCCCTCTCTTTTCCCCAGTATTGTTATGGGGGGGGGGGATAAATCTCAAACGAGTGACTTATGACAAAAACAAGGGTCAGATTTCAACTAATCACATCAAAAGCCATCAGAAAACCATTTTTTTTTTCAAAGGCTGTGGTTGCTGTAATATGCATATTTACAACCTCACCTAACATAGAATGAATACCTTAATTAGCAATAGAGTCTACGGTTGTGTTGGTGTGGGGATTAGTGGATGTCATCATTATGACCTGACCTCATGTTTTTAGGTCACCCTGTATATTTAAGCCTCTCTCTGTCCATGTAATCTAGTTGCCTCTGAAGATGTCTTGAATAAAGACGAAAGCTAAGGTACTCCGTTGTTTCCATTTTCCCGTGTGATTTTATCAAGATATTATATTATTTCATTTTCATTGTGGATTATATATATATATATATATATATATATATATATATATATATATATATATATATATATATATATATATATATATACATACAATGACCCCTCGTTTAACGAACGCCTCGGTTAACGAAATTTCGGTTAACGAACTGCCTTCCATAAGGATCCTCAATTCGGTTAACGAACAAAAATTCGGTTAACGAATTTCTTACGAACCGACCTCAACATGTTTTCGCTTGCACTGGCCGGGCAACCAGCTTTAGTATCAGTCCGCCAATACATTAATCGGTTCTAGGGCTTGAATTCCTTATTATTTTAGTAAATATCAAGAAATTTATACGATTCAATAATTTTAAAAGTTTAATATTAAATTTTTTAGTCATTTTAACAATTATTGAACATAATTGAAGGTAAAGTGACTAGTTTAATGTGCGGCATCCAGCCTCTTAACACAGCAAACAGGAGTTAGTCTCTCTCTGTTTTCACTGGAGGTAACATCTTGCTTGAGACTCTCTTCAACTAAACGCTTTTTTTCTGTGTTTCCAAGCAAATTATTGGTCATTTTGAAATATATTTTACATATTGACAATATATAATGCAGTGCAGTGTAGATTTAAAGAAAATAATCTTGAAATACACCAAGAGAACTAAAATTTTATGGGTGAAATGGTGCCATGGGGTGACTTCTCTTCCACCCCAATGCCTTCTCTTCTTCCTTCTCCTTCACCCCTATTCTAAATCCCATCATCATCATCATCCAGGAGCCTTCTACATACACACCTCAAAGTAAGTGAACTTTTCTACCATTTTTGTTGAATTTAGGCAATTTTCGGTGAGCTGGAACCAATTACCCAAAAACCCATTGTAACAATGGTTTTGGTTAACGAGTTTTTCGGTTAACGAGCAACCTTCTAGAACGAATTGTGCTCGTTAACCGAGGGACCACTGTATACAGTCGGCCCTTAACATACGCGGGTTTATAATACACGGATTTGCAAATACGCGGATTGCCCCGCTGGAGGAATATTCTGTACATTGAAGTAATTGAAGTACATTCAAATCGCGCGCCATTCAACTCGCGCGCGGCACCGAACACGGGACACCGCCCTCTCCCGCAACCTCAATCAGTCTCGCTGTAACCACGCTTGTTTTGACATCAGCATTGTAGTTGCAAAAATATTACATTTCCGTGAATGTATTATATCAAGCACAGTATGAATAGAATATCACTAATATAAGAGTATTTTAACCGAAAACTACTAAAAAAACGAGTAACATATCTTGAACATCGGTAGGCTAGGTAAAGTCTTTTGTTTTCATGTATTTTATCCTATTTTACATTGAAATGCATTACGTTTCAGCAAAACTACTATTTATTTCTGAGAATATGGAAATGTAATATTTTGCTGAAATGACGTACGTATTACAGTGGAAAGTGACGAAAGCAATGACTCGCTTTCTTTCGTTCAAAAGATGTTACCGTAATCGCTTTTCGAATGGTTTTCAGTTAAAAAACTGTTGTATTACAATAACATTCTATCCTAATTCACTTGATGCAACAGTTTTTTAAACTGAAAACCATTTGAAAAGCGATTACGGAAACATCTTTTGAACGAAAGAAAGTGAAAGTCATTGTTTTCGTCACTTTCCACTGTAATACGTACGTCATTTCAGCAAAAATATTACATTTCCGTGAATGTAGTATATCAAGCACGGTATGAATATAATATCATTGTAATATAACAGTATTTTAACCGAAAACTTAAAAAAACGAGTAACATCTCTTGAACATTGGAAGGTTAGGTAAAGTCTTTTGTTTTCGTCATGTATTTTATCCTATTTTACATTGAAATACATCACGTTTCAGCAAAACTACTATTTATTTCTGAGAATATATTCATTCAGGCACAGTTTAGGTAAAATATACATGTGCTGTAACATTTTTTTAATTGAAAACGATTCGAAAAACACGTACCCTCTAGCCCTGTTCAAGAAGACTGGGAGGAGCTGTTTGGTGCTTAAGAAGATGACAAGGAAAATGATTTTGATGGATTTTAATGAATATATTCAGAAAGACCCTGGCACTGTCAAGGAAAGTGGCTGCTGAAGGCTTCTGGGACATGGCAGAGGATGAGATTAGGGAGCTAATTGAAGAGCACGACACTGAGCTGACCGAGGAGGATCTACAGGAGTTAGTAGACTCAGGCAAGGAAGAGGAAGCGAAAGGGAAAGAGGATGAGGAAGAGCACCAAGAAATAACGTTGGAGAAGTTGGGGGAGATGACCAGGAATATTGAGGCACTGAAAAACCTGGCCTATAGTATGGACCCCTCCATGGTGCGTGCCCTGAAATTCATGCGAGGGATGGATGAAATTTTCGCTCCATACAAAAACATCATGGAAGAAATGAAAGAAAGAGACGACAACTCACCATCACCATGTTCTTTGATCACCGAAGGAGAGATTTAACGCCAATCACTGGCGGCAGTGAGGAAGCAGCTGAATCCACCGTCGCCCCCACTTCACCACCTGTTATGGAATTGAGTGACGATAAACCCGATGACCCCCGTCCTGTCGCCGAGGAGAGGTACGGTACAGTAAAGTGAAATTCTTATCTCTTTTTTTTTTAATAGCTTTTCTTCCCATGTTTATTGTTTGTAAAAATGCACAGCACAGTACAGTTCAGTACTGTACAGTACATAGGAAGTGGAGGTGCAGTTATTCACAAAACATTTGTGTTCATTGTCGGCAGTAGTGACGGGGAGGAGGCAGAGGGGGTAGAGGAGGGAGTGGAGGGAGTGAGTTGGGAGGAGTGGTGACCTTGAACGCGGGAGCAGGGACGAGTGGAGATGCCAGCCAGTACATTACGGGTGTATTAATTGTTTTTATAGCTATTTTTGCATTTTAATATTAAATATTGTACATTACGTTTCAACAAAACTACCATTTATTTCTGAGAACATGGAAATGTAATATTTTTGCTGAAATGATGTACGTATTACAGTGGAAAGTGGGATAAAATTGTGACGAAAGCAATGACTTTCTCTTTCTTTCGTTCAAAAGATGTTACCGTAATCGCTTTTCGAATGGTTTTCAGTTGTGGGATTATAAGGCTAATGATAGGATAGAATATTATTGTAATACAGTACGAGTACAACAGTTTTTTAACTGAAAACCATTCGAAAAGCGATTACGGTAAAATCTTTTGAATAACGAAAGAAAGCGAAAGTCATTGTTTTCGTCCCACTTTCCACTGTAATATGTATGTCATTCCAGCAAAAATATTATATTTCCATATTTATTTCTGAGAATACCTATATTCATTCAGTCACAGTTAAGGTAAAATATACTTGTGATGTAATATTTTAATGAAAATACCAGGTATCGTAGTTTTCTTTTGTTTCAAATTTAATTAACAAAGATTGATGTTTCAAATGTAATGAACAAAAATTTATGTACAGTATCTATAAATAAACTTTAAAAATGAATACTATTGTTTTACATGACATCGTGCCTGTACCTATGGTACCAATACCATGCACAGCTGGTGTTAATGTCCGTGCATCGTTTCCATTGTTTACTGGTAGTTACTGGTAAATATTTTTCAACCTAACGAAACTATTACCCGTTTTTTGGGGACC